GTGTGTGTGTGTGTGTGGGTGTGTGTGTGTGTGTGTTTTGGCGCGCGCGTGTGTGTGTGGTGGTAATGATAGCTATAAAGTGAGAGGTAAATCTTACAGATTCTACTTATATTTAGTTTTCACTTATCTTTACTTTTGTGTATTTCTTAATAGTTGTCATTCGTGTAACATTGGACTATCAGTTTACGAGTGGTGGTCGGAGAGCGGGACGCTGGAGCCATTATCTTTCATTAACACAGATAACACTGCCAACATACGTCATCAATAGCCTTCCAAGACATCAACATTCTACCATCATAATATAAAACATATTGTTGCAACAATTATAGTCTTCAAGAGGAAACTAGGTAAGGTCCTGATCATCTAGGCTGTGATGGTTTTATAAGCCTGCTTACTTATAGTAGCAATAGTCTGGCTGATGAGGCGGCTACCAGGGAGGCTTGGTCTCAGGCCTGACTGTAAGAGTAGATGAATAAGACATTTGGTCAACATTTGGGTATCTTTATTCTGGAAACGTTTCGTCAGTCAATGACTTCTTCAGTCCAATGCAGAGAAAGGTGGAAGATGAGGACTTTCAGGTAATCAGTCCCTCTGCCTAGAGTTGATATGTTCAGTCCATCAATCTTGACGGTTTTAAAACCGTTTATTCACATCGTGTAAGATTAGACCAACTCTGAACACCAGCCACAGGTATGACACTTGCTTCCCCACACTGCAGTATTGGCTCACTATAAATCATCCTCAACAAATTGCTCCTTATAATCTCTCTGGCTCACTCAGGTGTTCACTTTCCCTCTCCATCCCTTCACCAGGGTTCCCTTGATGCTAGTGAGGAATTTGAGCTATTCAGTTAATAATATAATTATAATAATAATAATAATTATAAATAATTGTTTCCTCGTCTAAGTACTACTTTTTTTTTTTTTTTTTTTTTTTGTGGCCGCTATTCCATTTTGTGTTGAGTAAGATAGGCTATGCTGAGAGATGGTAATTGCCACTTCAGAGTGGTTCGTCGGTATGGTCCCGGTTACCTGATGTGTAAAATCCATCCTGTATTATGGAATATGGCAGGGGAAATATAATTAGCTTTTGGTCTCACAATATAGCTATCGTATAGAGCAATATGTATATTAAATGGTCCAGGGGTGCGCCACCTTGGTGCTGGTGGTTGCCAGTAACCTTCCCTGCAGGCAGGTAGGCAGGCAGCCTGGAGTGTGACCTCACTTGGTGCTGGTGGTTGCCAGTAACCTTCCCTGCAGGCAGGTAGGCAGGCAGCCTGGAGTGTGGCCTCACTTGGTGCTGGTGGTTGCCAGTAACCTTCCCTGCAGGCAGGTAGGCAGGCAGCCTGGAGTGTGGCCTCACTTGGTGCTGGGGTTGCCAGTAACCTTCCCTGCAGGCAGGTAGGCAGGCAGCCTGGAGTGTGGCCTCACTTGGTGCTGCTGGTTGCCAGTAACCTTCCCTGCAGGCAGGTAGGCAGGCAGCCTGGAGTGTGGCCTCACTTGGTGCTGGTGGTTGCCAGTAACCTTCCCTGCAGGCAGGTAGCAGGCAGCCTGGAGTGTGGCCTCACTGGTGCTGCTGGTTGCCAGTAACCTTCCCTGCAGGCAGGTAGGCAGGCAGCCTGGAGTGTGGCCTCACTTGGTGCTGGTGGTTGCCAGTAACCTTCCCTGCAGGCAGGTAGGCAGGCAGCCTGGAGTGTGGCAGGCAGCCTGGAGTGTGGCCTCACTTGGTGCTGGTGGTTGCCAGTAACCTTCCCTGCAGGCAGGTAGGCAGGCAGCCTGGAGTGTGGCCTCACTTGGTGCTGCTGGTTGCCAGTAGACTGACACATCCTGTGTGATGGAATATGGCAGGTAACAGCTACATTTGGCTCCAGCTGTGTAATTATAATATAGACTAAGCAGCACACTGCCGATGTATTTGATTTTCCTAAATGAGAAAAAATCATGAGGTGTGTGTAGGCGGTGGATGTATGAGGAGCGTCAAGAACCTGGTGCCACCTTCACTTATTTTCTCAAACATGATTAACTTCATGAGTCAAGAATGAAGGTTTTTACTGATGGATCCCTCCCACGTGTCACTCTCTGGCCCTGGTTCCACGTGTGTCACTCTCTGGCCCTGGTTCCACGTGTGTCACTCTCTGGCCCTGGTTCCACGTGTGTCACTCTCTGGCCCTGGTTCCACGTGTGTCACTCTCTGGCCCTGGTTCCACGTGTGTCACTCTCTGGCCCTGGTTCCACGTGTGTCACTCTCTGGCCCTGGTTCCACGTGTGTCACTCTCTGGCCCTGGTTCCACGTGTGTCACTCTCTGGTCCTGGTTCCACGTGTGTCACTCTCTGGCCCTGGTTCCACGTGTGTCACTCTCTGGCCCTGGTTCCACATGTGTCACTCTCTGGCCCTGGTTCCACGTGTGTCACTCTCTGGCCCTGGTTCCACGTGTGTCACTCTCTGGCCCTGGTTCCACGTGTGTCACTCTCTGGCCTGGTTCCACGTGTGTCACTCTCTGGCCTGGTTCCACGTGTGTCACTCTCTGGCCCCGGGTTTCCACGGTGTCACTCTCTGGCCCTGGTTCCACGTGTGTCACTCTCTGGCCCTGGTTCCACGTGTGTCACTCTCTGGCCCTGGTTCCACGTGTGTCACTCTCTGGTCCTGGTTCCACGTGTGTCACTCTCTGGCCCTGGTTCCACGTGTGTCACTCTCTGGCCCTGGTTCCACCGTGTGTCACTCTCTGGCCCTGGTTCCACGTGTGTCACTCTCTGGGCCTGGTTCCACGTGTGTCACTCTCTGGCCCTGGTTCCACGTGTGTCACTCTCTGGCCCTGGTTCCACGTGTGTCACTCTCTGGTCCTGGTTCCACGTGTGTCACTCTCTGGCCCTGGTTCCACGTGTGTCACTCTCTGGCCCTGGTTCCACGTGTGTCACTCTCTGGCCCTGGTTCCACGTGTGTCACTCTCTGGTCCCTGGTTCCACGTGTGTCACTCTCTGGTCCTGGTTCCACGTGTGCCCACTCTCTGGCCCTGGTTCCACGTGTGTCACTCTCTGGCCCTGGTTCCACGTGTGTCACTCTCTGGTCCTGGTTCCACGTGTGTCACTCTCTGGTCCTGGTTCCACGTGTGTCACTCTCTGGCCCTGGTTCCACGTGTGTCACTCTCTGGCCCTGGTTCCACGTGTGTCACTCTCTGGTCCTGGTTCCACGTGTGTCACTCTCTGGTCCTGGTTCCACGTGTGTCACTCTCTGGCCCTGGTTCCACGTGTGTCACTCTCTGGTCCTGGTTCCACGTGTGTCACTCTCTGGTCCTGGTTCCACGTGTGTCACTCTCTGGTCCTGGTTCCACGTGTGTCACTCTCTGGTCCTGGTTCCACGTGTGTCACTCTCTGGTCCTGGTTCCACATGTGCCACTCTCTAGTCCTGGTTCCACATGTGTCACTCTTTGGTCCTGATTCCACATGTGCCACTCTCTGGTCCTGATTCCACATGTGTCACTCTGTGGTCCTGGTTCCACATGTGTCACTCTCTGGTCCTGGTTCCACATGTGTCACTCTCTGGTCCTGGTTCCACATGTGTGCCACTCTCTGGTCCTGATTCCACATGTGACACTCTCTGGTCCTGATTCCACATGTGTCACTCTTTGGTCCTGATTCCACATGTGCCACTCTCTGGTCCTGATTCCACATGTGTCACTCTGTGGTCCTGGTTCCACATGTGTCACTCTCTGGTCCTGGTTCCACATGTGTCACTCTCTGGTCCTGGTTCCACGTGTGTCACTCTCTGGTCCTGGTTCCACATGTGCCACTCTCTAGTCCTGGTTCCACATGTGCCACTCTCTAGTCCTGGTTCCACATGTGTCACTCTTTGGTCCTGATTCTACATGTGCCACTCTCTGGTCCTGGTTCCACATGTGTCACTCTGTGGTCCTGGTTCCACATGTGTCACTCTCTGGTCCTGGTTCCACATGTGTCACTCTCTGGTCCTGGTTCCACATGTGTCACTCTCTGGTCCTGGTTCCACATGTCACTCTTTGGTCCTGGTTTCACGTGTCACTCTCTGCTCCTGGTTCCACATGTGTCACTCTCTGGTCCTGGTTCCACATGTGTCACTCTCTGGTCCTGGTTCCACATGTGTGCCACTCTCTGGTCCTGGTTCCACATGTCACTCTTTGGTCCTGGTTTCACATGTGTCACTCTCTGGTCCTGGTCCACACGTGTCCTCTGGTCCTGGTCCACACGTGTCCTCTGGTCCTGATCCACACGTGTTCTCTGGTCCTGGTCCACACGTGTCCTCTGGTCCTGGTCCACACGTGTCCTCTGGTCCTGGTCTACACGTGTCCTGCTTGTCTTTTTCCAATATTATCAGCTGTCAATATTATGTGTATATCTGTGTTATTAATTCTCCAAGAATATTCTTGCCTATTTTCCGCCCTCCATGTACACTAAATAATACTGAATACAGAAACTAATTTTAATTTTTAAAGGGCGGAAGGATAAGCCAGTGGAAGGCCTCGGTCAGGTGACCAATAGCTCCAATGGCGGGTCATAATATAACTAAGACTACTTTGGTAAGACGAATCTTACGCAAGTAGTGAATGACATAGTAGTGAAGAACAAAGAGGCACAATACCCTGACTAGAACAATATACAGGTAATTCTCTCATAAAAGAAACTTATGATGAATCTAGTAGTGAATAACAGAATCAGTGGTTACCTTTATGATGTTCAACCACTATAAAGGTCACCACTAAGTCTTATTTACTCCACCTTCTGTGTAGTTCTCAACTACCGACAAACAGTTTTGTAGAGTATACACACAATGTTATCAACACCCACTAATAATTAAACACTGCTTGTTTACCACTGAAATACAACCAAGTAAATAAATCACTTGCACTGAAGGATTTATTCACAACTGTACAAGACAAGATCTGGTAGACTGGTTTTGCAGTACAAGTGTTGCTTTATGAAACACTATGTAATATAAGACTGTATGTGCCACTCTCTACACTTTCTTACCTGTGATATACGAACCACTGTCTTGCCACGAGTTATACTGTATTGTTTCAAAATGCGATATACGAGGCACCGTGCCAGGAGCTATGACTCGACTCCTGCAACCACATATAGGTGAGAACCGTCTTTTCTGCCATGAAGGTGTTTAATATGAGTGGTTGTGATGGCATAGGTGAAGGCAGCGTTGTATGGAGGCTGACACTGTGTTACACATGTATACACTGAGAGGGACCCAGCCATCAACACTCACACTACCACGTCCCGCGACACACTGACTCACAACCCTCCTCTCTAAGGTGTGGAGCGAGGAGACAACACTCTCCCTTTCCTACCTCCTTCCCTCCCTCCTTACCCACTCCCTACCCCCTCCCTACCTTTCCTTCCTCCTTCCCTCCCTACCACTTGGTGAAGGTAATATTGACCAACGGGAGATGAACAAAGAACATGAAAAAACTTGCTCTGTTACGTAAGACGGAATTATTTTCGTTTGTTTTCTTTTTTTAACATTAACTCCAGTTATCCTGTTTGTTATATTTCTCGAGTTAAAATATCTATTGAAGGCACTATTAGAAGTGTTAGCAAAGATACAAGTGTTAAATTACACCTATCTACTTTCACCTAAACACTCACTTTATCATCTGTGGCTCGTCCATCTTCGTATCAACAGTCTGTCTGTCTGTCTATGTCAATAAATCCATTATCCAGTTTCCTTATCACTGCTGACTTGTCTGTGTCTGCCAGTCAGTCTGATTGTCACTTAAAACTGTCAGACTGTATATTTCTCGGTCTGCCTGTCAGTCTGCCATTCTGGCCGTTGTTCTTTTTGACTGTCACTTTTGTCTGCGTAGGTATTGATGTGAGTCTTTATCTGACATTACTGACTGACACTGTGAACACTCCCCTCCGTGTTGGAACACGTCAGTCATAGTGTTGGAACACGTCAGTCACAGTGTTGGAACACGTCATTCATAGTGTAGGAACACGTCAGTCATAGTGTTGGAACACGTCAGTCACAGTGTTGGAACACGTCAGTCACAGTGTTGGAACACGTCATTCATAGTGTAGGAACACGTCAGTCATAGTGTTGGAACAAGTCAGTCATAGTGTTGGAACACGTCAGTCATAGTGTTGGAACACGTCAGTCATAGTGTTGGAACACGTCAGTCATAGTGTTGGAACACGTCAGTCATAGTGTTTGAACACGTCAGTCATAGTGTTGGATCACGTCAGTCATAGTGTTGGAACACGTCAGTCATAGTGTTGGAACACGTCAGTCATAGTGTTGGAACACGTCAGTCACTGTGTTGGAACACGTCATTCATAGTGTAGGAACACGTCAGTCATAGTGTTGGAACAAGTCAGTCATAGTGTTGGATCACGTCAGTCATAGTGTTCGAACACGTCAGTCATAGTGTTGGAACACGTCAGTCATAGTGTTGGAACACGTCAGTCACTGTGTTGGAACACGTCAGTCATATTGTTGTAACACGTCAGTCACTGTGTTGGAACACGTCAGTCACTGTGTTGGAACACGTCAGTCATATTGTTGGAACACGTCAGTCACTGTGTTGGAACACGTCAGTCACTGTGTTGGAACACGTCAGTCATAGTGTTGGAACACGTCAGTCATAGTGTTGGAACACGTCAGTCACTGTTGGAACACGTCAGTCATAGTGTTGGAACACGTCAGTCACTGTGTTGGAACACGTCAGTCACTGTGTTGGAACACGTCAGTCACTGTGTTGGAACACGTCAGTCATAGTGTTGGAACACGTCAGTCATAGTGTTGGAACACGTCAGTCATAGTGTTGGAACACGTCAGTCACAGTGTTGGAACACGTCAGTCACAGTGTTGGAACACGTCAGTCACAGTGTTGGAACACGTCATAGTGTTGGAACACGTCAGTCACAGTGTTGGAACACGTCAGTCACAGTGTTGGAACACGTCAGTCATAGTGTTGGAACACGTCAGTCATAGTGTTGGAACACGTCAGTCATAGTGTTGGAACACGTCAGTCATAGTGTTGGAACACGTCAGTCATAGTGTTGGAACACGTCAGTCATAGTGTTGGAACACGTCAGTCACAGTGTTGGAACACGTCATTCATAGTGTTGGAACACGTCAGTCATAGTGTTGGAACAAGTCAGTCACAATGTTGGAACAAGTCAGTCACAGTGTTGGAACACGTCAGTCATAGTGTTGGAACACGTCAGTCATAGTGTTGGAACACGTCAGTCACAGTGCTGGAACAAGTCAGTCATAGTGTTGGAACACGTCAGTCACAGTGTTGGAACACGTCAGTCACAGTGTTGGAACACGTCAATCACAGTGCTGGAACAAGTCAGTCACAGTGTTGGAACAAGTCAGTCACAGTGTTACCTGTAGGTTATTCCGGGGATCAACGCCCCCGCGGCCCGGTCCATGACCAGGCCTCCCGATGGTTCAGGGCCTGATCAACTAGGCTGTTACTGCTGGCCGCACGCAGTCCAACGTACGAGCCACAGCCCGGCTGATCCGGCACTGACTTAGGTATCTGTCCAGCTCTCTCTTGAAGGCAGCCAGGGGCTTATTAGCAATTCCCCTAATGCTTGATGGGAGGCTATTGAACAGTTTTGGGCCCCGGACACTTTAGTGTTTTTCCCTTAGTGTAACCAATGGCGCCCCTACTTTTTATTGGGGCATTTGCATGCCTGCCAGTCTTTTACTTTCGTAGGGAGTGATTTCGGGTGTGCAGATTTGGGACGCCATTCCTTCCAAGATTTCCAAGTGTAGATTATGTATTTCTCCCTCCTGCGTTTCAGCGAGTACTGTAATGCTTCCAAGCGTTCCCAGTTAATGCTGACAGAACTTATACTGGGGCAGTAAGGATCTCTGTCACTCTCTAGATCTGGATTTCACCTGCTTTGAATGGGAGATGTTAATGTACAGCAGTATTCCTAGCCTAGAGAGAACAAGTGATTTGAAAGGATCATCATTGGCTTGGCACACTTCGTTTTGAAAGTTCTCATTACATCCTATCATTTTCCCTTGCACGTGCGATCGTGGCACTGTTGTGATCCTTGAAAGTGAGATCCTCAGACATTACTACTCCCAGGTCCCTTACATTATTTTTCCGCTCTATTGTATGGCCGGAGTCAGTAGTATACTCTGTTCTAGTTATTATCTCCTCCAGTTTTCCATAACGGAGTAGGTGGAATTTGTCCTCATTGAACATCATATTGTTTACCGTTGCCCACTGGAAAACTTTGTGTATATCTTCTTGGGAGGTTGGAAAAGTCAGTCACAGTGTGGAACAAGTCCAGCCCCCACGTGCGGAACAAGACAGTCCAGTGTTGGAACAGTCCAGTCACAGTGTTGGAACAAGTCAGTCACAGTGTTGGAACAAGTCAGTCACATTGTTGGAACAAGTCAGTCACATTGTTGGAACAAGTCAGTCACAGTGCTGGAACAAGTCAGTCACAGTGCTGGAACAAGTCAGTCACAGTGTTGGAACAAGTCAGTCACAGTGTTGGAACAAGTCAGTCACAGTGCTGGAACAAGTCAGTCACAGTGTTGGAACAAGTCAGTCACAGTGTTGGAACAAGTCAGTCACAGTGTTGGAACAAGTCAGCCATAGTGTTGGAACAAGTCAGTCACATTGTTGGAACAAGTCAGTCACAGTGCTGGAACAAGTCAGTCACAGTGCTGGAACAAGTCAGTCACAGTGTCAACAGTGTGTTGGAAGGCGAACATAAAAGGGTCACTGTGCTCACTGGAATATAAGATTCACCTCACACTTCTGCCTCCAACTAAGCGGTCAAGGGCTCTCGCTTCCAGGAATTGGAATTACCACACCTTCTTCGGATCAAACCTGACTGCCTCATATTCCCTTGACGCTTGTATGACTTACGGGTTTACCTCCTCCCTTTGAATTAATAGCCCTTTTACATATAGTTTTCAACATTGCACTGTTGTGCACTTATTAAAAATTTCCAACAATACTACCACTAAATTCCTGGTTTGATTCAGTGTGGAACCCCCAAAAGCTCGCAACCAAACCACCCGGTTTTATCCTGTGTGAATGGGCGCGGGGCCGCAAATCTTCTACACCTGAAGATTTCTAGCCCTACTGCTCAAGATTTCTAGACCTACTGCCCAATCTTTTTAGCCCTACTCCCAAGTTTTCTAGCACCTACTGCTTCAAGTTTCTAGCACCTATGCCTCAAGTCTTCTAGCAAACTACTGCCTAAAGTCTTCTAGCACCTACTGCCTCAAGTCTTCTAGCACCTACTGCCTCAATTCTTCTAGCATACTTCCCCTCAATCTTCTAGCACCTACTGCTTCAAGTTTTCTAGCACCCTACTGCCTCAAGTCTTCTAGCACCTACTGCCCCCAATTCTTCTAGCACCTACGCTCAATTTCTTCTAGCACCTGACTTCAAGTCTTCTAGCACCTACTGCCCAAGTCTTCTAGCACCTTGCCTCAAGTTTCCTAGCACCTCTGCCTCAAGTCTTCTAGCACCTGCCTCAAGTCTTCTAGCACCTACTGCCCCAAGTCTTCTAGCACCTACTGCCTCAAGTCTTCTAGCACCTACTGCCCAAGTCTTCTAGCACCTACTGCCTCAAGTCTTCTAGCACCTCTAAAGTTTCTGCACCTATGCCTATTTCTCTGCACCTACTGCCTCAATCTTCTAGCACCTACTCCCTAAGTTTTTAGCACCTATGCCTCAGTTTTAGCACCTACTTGCCTCAAGTCTCTAGCACCTACTGCTAAAGTTTTCTGCACTAGCTCAAGTCTTCTAGCACCTACTGCTTCAAGTTTTCTAGAACTCTGCCTCAGTATCTAGCACCTACTGCCTCAAGCTTCTAGACCCTGCTCAAGTTTTAGCCCTATGCCTCAAGTCTTCTAGCACCTACTCCCTCAAGTTTCTAGCACACTGCCTCAAGTCTTCTGCACCACTGCTTCAAGTTTTAGACCTACTGCCTCAAGTCTTCTAGACCTGCTTACTCAAGTTTCTAGCACCTACTGCCTCAAGTTTCTAGCACCTACTGTTCAAGTTTCTAGCCCTCTGCCTAAAGGGCTTCTAGCCCCTTTCTGCTTCGTTTTCTAGCCCTACTGCCTCAACCTACACCAACTGCCTCAAGTCTTTAGCCCCTGCTCCCTTAATTTTTCTAGCACCTACTGCCTCAAGTTTTCAAGAAACCACTGCCTCAAGTCTTCAAAGCACCTACTGCTTCAATTCTTTAAAGCCACTGCTTCAAGTTTTCTAGCACCTACTGCCTCAAGTCTTCTAGCACCTACTGCTTCAAGTTTTCTAGCACCTAC